AATCAGGAAGAACTCATCAGAGCATCGAACTATCAAACAAAGTTCATGATCTCGGCCCTCACAAAATTCAACGAAACATAAGCCAGAATCACGAACAAACTACAACATTTCCAGAAACGACTCAACGAAAGAATAGAAGCTATGAACAGCATGCAGAGTTGGTACAAGCAAATAGACACTAATGCCCTTAACATTCACCTATTGAGTGCATACCAAGTAGCTACCAACTTCATCAACGAAACCAATGAGCACTATGATAAATTGCTGAACGTCAACTTCAACAGGGGTACGATATATGACGAAGTTTCACCAGCATATATCAACGCAGTCATTCAAAAATTCAATCGAAAGCTCCCAAACAGTGGCGTAGCATAGGCTATTGTCGCCCGGGGCGGAGTCATAATTTGCCGCCCTTTTGACGTCATAGAAAAAAAAACGGACTTTGTTCGGTAATTGCATTTGCGAGCAAATTTTGATGGACGTCACGTGATAACTTATCTTTTTTTACATGTCAAATCATGTGACATTCTGTACAATTTTGCTCGCAGATGAAATTACCGAACTCAAGCCACGGTGTGCGTTTCACACCACAGATGAGAAAACTTCAAAAATCAATAAAGCTTAGGTTTAATAAACAAACATCACATGGGCATTTGCACGGCTACCACTTAAGGGATATTTATTCTAAGTGGAGCTTTGAATGTGACTTTTGTTTCTACAACAGTCACATTCAAAGCTCCACTTGGTTTAAATATTCCTTAAATTATAGCGGTGCAAATGGCCGACAGATGCTTGACAATTACCGCTATATTGAATCCTGGCATTTGCAGTTTGGATCAAGGTTGTTCAAGGGCCGAATTTATCCTTGTCCTTTAGGAAGCCCTGAGCATTTAGAATGACTTGACTAACTTGTCAAATAGTAGCAAGTGTCCATTCTGAACTCGCGACTCCAAGGGAGATTCAATACAAGGAACGACTATAAATTCGGCCATAAAAGAGGTAGGTTGCCTGGTGGGATTCTCAATCTATCGATAAGTAACGTCCCGACCACTTGTAGAAAGGCGACGTGGATAGTCGGGACGAGAGGTTGCGACTAGGAGTTGAGAATCCCGCCCCCGATAACTTTTATGACGTCATATGTATGACTGAACATAATGCACCACCTGATGGCGTCATCTCTTTGCCATTACCAGACAACCTATCACAAGCAATTAATATTTTACCAATCATATCGGCAACGTCACCGGAATTTGTTCTAGGGGAGTTTCAATCTCACTTTCTCGCACTACTTAATTTTTTTTCCCTCGCTTGGCTAAACTCGACTCGAGCCGACTGTATCCGACCAAATGAGCGTTAACAATTCGTTTTGTTTTGCTAAACGCGCCTAAAGTTTTCACTTCAATAATGCTGTTGGTTACAGGCAAGTCTTGAAGGTTACAAGAAGCGGCAATTTTGCCGCCCTCCTAAAAGCGGCGCCCGGGGCGGTCCGCCTTCTCCGCCCCCCCTCGCTACGCCACTACTCCCAAACAATCTAAAGATTCTTTCGGCAGCAGTCTCCACAAGATTATTCACCAACAACACGCACCTCAAGGTGTGTGGATATTTTCCAATAGTTGAAGTGACGGAATTCACCCTATTGAAGGCAACACCGATTCCACTCAGAATTGAGAATGAAACATACTGGGCGTTGGACCTTCACGATGATTACACCGCCGTCGACTACAACATACTTTCAGCTCCATGAAAGCGACCTCCAACAGTGCATGCAGCTCTACCTACTCCAGCTCATCTGTTCTCCAGCTTCTGTTAGAAACATTGAAGCTAATCCGTCCTGCGTCATCGACGAAATTTATGAACGACCGCAACCCAGACATTGCCAGATACAACAACACAGGCTAAAAGGCATCCTCTGGAAACGACTATGTACAACGAATACATGGATGTTCATCGCAGGTTCGTCTACAACAATAGCGGTTATATGCAACGGCGAGCGGGAAGATGTAGGAATAAATACAATGGGAATAATTCAAATTTCTCAAGACTGCACCATCTAGACAAAATAAAACATTCTAACTCCCATAAAAAGCGCATTCGTTCCAGTGGTAGGCAGCTATGTAAAAGCTGTACCCATAATCTTCAATGGTACTCTCCACAGGGTCAGTTAAGTTAGCCCCCCCATAGAAAATTTCTGGATGAAAATTATCCCATAATTTTGCTCTCATTTTGCTCCATTTTGCTCCACTAATTTCGATTTTTGCTCCATTACAGTGGAGAGACTATGTGGCCTATTAGGTGGGGGGGGGGGGGGGCTGAATTAACGCTAGCCCCCCCAGTGAAAATTCAGAAATTTCATGCTCATTTTGTTCTCCGAGTTTTGCTCCATTTTGCTCCACTATCGGCGAGTTTTGCTCCATTACCAGGAGAGACCTACAGAGCTCCCAAGAATCTCTCCCAGCTCCCCCAGTGAAAATTCTGAAACTTGATCATGCTCATTTTGTTCTCCGAGTTTTGCTCCATTTTGCTCCACTATCGGCGAGTTTTGCTCCATCACCAGGAGAGACCTACAGAGCTCCCTGAATCTCTCCCAGCCCCCCCGGTGAAAATTCTGGAATTTGATCATGCTCATTTTATTCTCCGAATTTTGCTCCATTTTGCTCCACTATCGGCGAGTTTTGCTCCATTACCAGGAGAGACCTACAGAGCTCCCAAGAATCTCTCCCAGCCCCCCCAGTGAAAATTCTGAAACTTGATCATGCTTATTTTGTTCTCCGAGTTTTGCTCCATTTTGCTCCACTATCGGCGAGTTCTGCTCCATCACCAGTAGAGACCTACAGAGCTCCCAAGAATCTCTCCCAGCCCCCCCCGGTGAAAATTCTGGAATTTGATCATGCTCATTTTATTCTCCGAACTTTGCTCCATTTTGCTCCACTATCGGCGAGTTTTGCTCCATTACCAGGAGAGACCTACAGAGCTCCCAAGAATCTCTCCCAGCCCCCCCAGTGAAAATTCTGAAACTTGATCATGCTCATTTTGTTCTCCGAGTTTTGCTCCATTTTGCTCCACTATCGGCGAGTTTTGCTCCATTACCAGGAGAGACCTACAGAGCTCCCAAGAATCTCTCCCAGCCCCCCCGGTGAAAATTCTGAAATTTGATCATGCTCACTTTGTTCTCCGAGTTTTGCTCCATTTTGCTCCACTATCGGCGAGTTTTGCTCCATTACCAGGAGAGACCTACAGAGCTCGTAGGTCATTCCAGGTAATGAAGCAAAACTCGCCGATCATGGAGCAAAATGGATCAAAACTCGGAGAACAAAATGCGCATATAGAAACTCCAAAATTTTCACACGTGTTGCAAGGAGAGATTCCTGGGAGCTGTGTAGTTCATTCCAGAGCCGCTTTCGGGTGCAGTGTGTGAAGTACCTGGGCCGGTATTCTCGTTCTCGAAAAAGCTCAATGTTTTCTAAGCGCTCAGTACTTCTAATATAAATTTACATTAAAAGTGCCGAGCGACAAAACTCGGTATGAGTAATTTCAAGTTTCAAAATTTTCACTGGGGGGCAAGAAGAGATTCTTTGGAGCTCTGTAGGTCATTCCTGGTAATGGAGCAAAACGGAGAAAAACTCGGAGAACAAAATGAACATGTTCAAATTTAAAAATTCAAATTTCAGAATTTTCACTAAGGGGGGGGGGGGCTGGGAGAGATTCTTGGGAGCTCTGTAGGTCTCTCCTGGTAATGGAGCAAAACTCGCCGATAGTGGAGCAAAATGGAGAAAAACTCGGAGAACAAAATGAGCATGATCAAGTTTCAGAATTTTCACTGGGGGGGCTGGGAGAGATTCTTGGGAGCTCTGTAGGTCTCTCCTGGTAATGGAGCAAAACTCGCCGATAGTGGAGCAAAATGGAGCAAAATTCGGAGAATAAAATGAGCATGATCAAATTCCAGAATTTTCACCGGGGGGGGGGGGGGGCTAGCGTTAATTCAGCCCCCCCCCACCTAATAGGCCACATAGTCTCTCCACTGTAATGGAGCAAAAATCGAAATTAGTGGAGCAAAATGGAGCAAAATGAGAGCAAAATTATGGGATAATTTTCATCCAGAAATTTTCTATGGGGGGGGCTAACTTAACTGACCCCTCTCCACAATCATCCACCGTCAGATATAGCCACCGAGCCCGTGTTTAGAGAATTCGATAGTTTTGGAGACCTAGTAAGAGAAGAAGAGGACCTCGGTGATCGACTTCATAACAAAGTATGGCGCAGTATTCATCACCACTCTGCAGCCTTTAGCAGCATCACCACCATAGTCATCATTATACTAGTCATTGCTGGATGGCAAACAACAAAACTTATCAACAGAAGATGTCAAAAGCAGACAAGAGACCAACACCAAGACAAAAAAGAAGACATAGAGCTAATTTATCTGATTCTTCCATTCTGGAGAGGCGGCAGAATGTTTAATTAGAACAATTAAACAGTGAATAACCTTCGCCGGCGTAATTTGACCGACTTCGTATATTTATATTTTATTCAATATCACGGTCAGCTTGCTATATGAGATTTTAGTTAGTCACAATGTTTGGGTATTATAAAAATATCCAAACATCGTGAGTTGCATTCCAGCATGCATTTAAGTAATTACGGTCACAGTGTTTTATATTTTTGCAGTTTTTGTCACGATTAGTTTGTCAATATCTAATATAAAAAGGGATGTAAGATTCGAAATAAATCAGTATTCATAAGGTGTTTTACTCAAATCGTTTTCTGTGCCCAAGCCTTTCTGGCCATCGCAGAGAGTGAGGCTGCTCTTTGACAAAAACCGATACAATCGTCCCGCTGCTCAACCAAGCCGAGTTGGGCAAGCGTAATCTGCGAGCACAGCTTGCACAGATTGTTATAAGTAGTGTTATAGGTAGCTTGAACAATCAAACAGCCAATAATAAAAAAATATTATGTTCCAATTTTATTCTGTATGATTCGAATTATATTTGATAAGTTCTTACCTGGCTATCCTTCAGTCCCAATTTCTCAGCCAATTTCTTCCTATCAGGCTTGCTGATATACTTTTGTATCTGAAACCTCCGTTCCAGTCCTTTTCTCTGCAGATCACTAAATACTGCTCTGCGCATCATCCCCCTTCGAGGTTTCCCTCGACCGCTGTGAGCCCATGGAAACGTTCCTGGTAGAGGAAATACTGCCGACTGGGCACCAGATACTGGAGTTGAAACTGAAACAGTATTAATGAATCAATGCAGATTTTGATTTGAATTTTGCCTGATGAAGTTACCTGTTAGATACGGTTGTGGTCTACAATGGGCCAATAATAAATGGGGGTTGAATTGTGGAGGTCTACTCGCAACTGGTTTAGCTATTGAAGGTGAATGTACTGTGGCACCTCCTAAATATGATTGTAGTCCTAGTAAGCTGGGGTGGGTTACGTGTATGAGATTTTCTGAAAAGAGAATATAATTGATCAAATACATAAGTAATTAGGCACTTTATTGTTATTTCATTATCGTTATTGTTAGTGAACTGTTGCCAGTATCAACGATTCTCCTCTTATTAGGTCAAAGCTCAGGGAAAAAATTATTTCAAAAGACAGAAAAACTGGATATTAGCTAACATATGAATATGCATAAAGATAGAGCAAGAAGTGGAAACTATACCGTATTGAACCCCCGAAATATCTCGGGGATAGTCATGGTGAATAGTGGCAGTTGAATAACTTACTGAATATGGCCCACGAAACACAAACTTTGCATGGACAAGTTCTGGCAAGCTTTCATGAATCCTGAAGAACGAAACCATTCGACTTTACCTGAGAAGTAGAGTTTTTGACCATTGTTGTGGTTGTCAGACCATCTAAGGCTTAGGGGGCCGTGGAGCGGATAATTTTCAACATTAGACTCTACACTCTCCGCGACAACAATGGAAAATCTTGGTTCGAGGACCTAGCATCAAAAGTAATCTAAATTGGAATGACCAGGACACCTCGCAAGACAGAAAAATCACAGAACTCAGAACTAATAAATTGGGGACCATATACCTACTGGGCACAGATCAAGAGAAGACATGTGGATCAAAATGGATAACACTGAAGATGAGTGATTCAAAATAGAGGTCGCTGGAGAAAATTGGAAAATGCCTTTATAGTGTCAACTACTTAAGTAAATACCACTCTGTACATCAATTTTACTAAAGTGCGTCGACGAGTCAGCATTTATTTGGTATAAATACAGCGCCGAAATCCATTATCGGCAGACTAAGGCTAGTGCGAACTACCTCTAATGGGAAAAGCCGTTCTAGCTAAGTCTCCTCCCAGTGCAAACTACCTTTAATGGGAAACGCCCTTCTGGACCTGTCTCACCCTTTCAGTTTCAGTCTTCAGTCACGCCAAGTATACAGAGGGTACATAATTAATACAGAGTGGCCCTTAAGTAGTACGTCCCTCCGTAGAAGATACGTCATGATACCATTTTTAGGGTAATAACTATTATTAATCAATACACATCTTATTATACCTATACCAAGCGAGTTTCTCTCTACCTGAACCCCACCTACGCCCCCAAGTCACGCTCCTGTTGTGACGTCTCAGGACGAAACGTATAGGGGTTGTGACATATTTGGTGGAGGTGCCGGGCTATGCCTTTCTTTGTTACTTCATGCAATGGTCTCGCTATTGATGCGAAATTGTAAATAAACTTTCTATAAAAGTTGCAAAGTCCAAGAAAGCTTTGTACATCCTTAACTTTTTTTGGTGATGGAAATTTTCTTATGCCAACTATTTTTTCTTTATCCGGTAAAATTCCTTGCGCATTTACATTAAAGCCTAGTATATTGATCTTTCGCATTTGCTTGGTTTATGCGTAAGAGAAGCTTGTTTTAAGCGTTCAAAAACTTTTCTTAGCTTTTGTAAGTATTCTTCGAAAGTTTGGGAAAATATGATGATGTCATCCAGGTAAATTAGCACTTCTTTCCATTTCATGTCCCAGAAGACCTGATCCGCAAGTTCTTGGAAGGTTGCCGGGGCATTGCACAGCCCAAAACTTAGTACGTTAAACTCGTAGGTTCCATGCCCTTGTGCCACAAACGCTGTATATTGCTTTGAACTTTCCTCCACTGGAACTTGCCAATATCCAGAAGATATGTCGAGGGTGCTGAACCATTTTGCGTTGCCTAGATATGACAAGATGTCGTCGATCTGCGGCAGTGGGTAAGTTGATTTTTTTTGTTACACTGTTTATTTTCCTGTACTCTACGCAAAATCTGGTTTTCCCATCCTTTTTCTTCACTAGCACCACTGGACTGGCCCATGGAGAGTGGCAAGGCCTAATAACGTTGCTATCAAGCATTTCCTGACTTTGTTCGTCTATGATCTGTCTTTCTTTCTGTGATACCCGGTATGGGCGGCTTTTGATTGGTCTGGCGTCCCCAACTTCTATTTTGTGTTGTGTTAAGTTGGTTTTGCCCATTCGTTTTGTCGATTTTGCAAAAACGTCATTATATTCAAGAAGTGGTTCTATTAGTGCCTGTTTATTTTCCTCGTTTGGAATTCCGTTCACCTTATGGTCATCTAGCGTTACTTCTTCGTTTTCCTGGATCTTCTCTTCTTGTAGCATGAGATTGTAGGAGTGATGTATTTCTGTTTTTTCTAAAAATGCCATTGTTGTTCCCGCGTAAATCGCTACTGGATTCCGTGTATTTGATTTTACTTTTAACATAAGGCTGCCTTCGTTTGTGTAAACGTGCGTTTGTAGTACCAGATGATTTTTTGCTAACCAGTCCAAGTTATATCTGCATTGGTAGCCCACATTGTTCTCAATTTCACTATTTTCGTCCATAATTTTCAATTGCAATATTTTTACTTCATTTTGTGACACCGTATAATCTTTAGTAACCCCCAATTTGTGTACTTTATCTTTAGTTTCCATACTGATTTGCATTAGGTTAGTGATTTCCTCTTCGGGTTTTTCTTCTATTTCATGACTGGGTCCATCTCTGTATATAAGAACCGTGACGCCCGTGTCCTTAAATAGAAAATACAACATTTGTTTGAATCTTGCCCATTCTTTTTTTAATTCCCATCCTTGTCTTGGGATAACTAATTTTTCAACCGATTTTCCTGTGATGCTGGTCCTCAGTGCTCTTAGAAATTTATATATATTTCTTGGTTTTCTCTCATGGATTTTCTTGTAAATAGAAAAATTGCCGATTGTTTCCCATGTTTTGTGGCTGACTCTCCTATGGTGCCCTTTTGCCTGTTTCTAGGAAGCAAATGCCTGTATTTCTTAAGAATTGCCTTTTTCACTTTGTATTCTTGGGTTACACCTACTGCTAAAACGGCATTAGTTGGTAGGGTGCCTATATTTCCATTTTCTTTCTTTAGGAAACCGTTGACCTGGTCGGTTGTTATGTTAGTGTGGCCTTTTATGAATTTGTTGAACTCCAGTTCATCTACTTTCGAATCAGAGGCAGCTTCTTTTTGACCGGCTGTTTTTTTGAAACTAGGCTCGTCATAAGTCTTTTTTCGTTGTTTGTGTGCCTTAAGGGTATTCTGTGTTTCCCATTTAAAAATAGTTCTTTGCGTGGGAGATCTATAATTGCCTTATTTTTTAATAAAAACTCCATTCCTGAGATAATAGGTTGTGTTAGAGATGAAATAACTTTGGCGTTCAGTGTCCCATTCCACATTGTACTTCCTGGTATTCTTATTGGGATTTTAGTGTCTCCTAAAACTTTTATCTTGTGTCTTCCTGCAGTAACTAGGACCGTGTTATTATTTTCTGATATTTCTCCCTATATTATATCCCTGTGCAATACATTATCCTTGGGCCCGGATTCCGAACACACGATTCGATAGTATCGTCCATATAAAATAGATAGACGATACTATCGAATCGTCGGTTCGGAATCCGGGCCAAGAATTCAAAAACCCGGCGAGAGTTTACAAGAATTCGAATCAGAAGTTAAAAGGCTAGTGAGTTTGGCTTTTCCTGCAGCTGAGGAAGACATGCAGGAATGGATGGCATTATCTGCATTTATTGATGGTCTCAGGATTCCAAGATCCAGGAAAACCTAAGAATGTCCAAGTTCAGGAAAAGTAGCGAAGCCCTTGTCAGAGCACTAGAACTGGAAGCAATCTTTGGTGCCTCAACACCCAGTATACGAGCAGTGTCCATTCAAGACCCAAAGGATGAACAAACGTCAAAAGAAGATGGTAGCTTCAAGAATCTTATGAGTAAGTTCACGGAGAAGATGATGAAGAAACTAGTACTAGAAATTAAACAAATGGAAAACGACTCCAAACAAACACCAGCACCGAGAAATCGAGTAAAATGTTACCGGTGCCAAAAGCTTGGGCACATGCAATGGGATTGTAGACTAAGGATGTCCTCTCCATCTAGGAATCGTTCCCAAAGCTTTTGGAGGTCCAGAGACGCTAGTCCTAAATATCGACCTGGAAACCCGCATGACAAGAACACTAGTCCAGTTGTAAGAAGAACGGGCCTGATCGTCGATGACAAATGGACTACCAAACAAATGAGAGAAGATCAGGAGGCAGACCAGGACATCGGGCAAATTCTACATCTTAAAGAAAACGATGAATGTAGGCCAGAATGGAGGGAAGTGTCAAACAAGAGCTTGATTTACAAGTTGGTGCCGAAAATGCGACATCTGTGCTACCAGTAAAGGCCCTAAACTAAGATCTCGGGGACCCATGAAACAGTACAACGTCGGTCTTCCATTTGAAAGAATATTGATAGATGTAGCCGGACCGTTCCCAGAGTCAGAGCGTGGTAACAAAAACATCTTAGTTATCATGGATTACTTCAGTAAATGGCCAGAAGTTTTCGCTATTCCCAATCAAGAAGCCATCACTGTTGCCCAGGTGATAGTGGACGAAGTTTTTAGTCGTCATGGTGTGCCACTAGAGTTACATTCAGACCAGGGACGAAACTTCGAATGTGCCATCTTCAATAAAATTTGTGAGATCATGGGAATCCGTAAGACCAGGACAACACCTTTACATCCACAGTCTGATGGCATGGTAAAACGATTTAATAAGACCATAGAGGAACACCTGACAAAAGTGGTCGCAAAGAACCAGCGTGATTGGGACAAACACTTGCCTCTGTTTTTAATGGCTTATAGAGCAACTGTTCACGAGTCAACAGGTGAAAGTCCAGCCAGAATCGTCTTTGGAAAAGAACTCAGGTTACCTTGCGATCTGATGTTTGGGATACCTGAAGAAGAACGGAGAGAAATCCGAGATTATGCCGACGAAGTAAGGGCACGACTTCTGGGTATCCATGATTTTGCTCGGGAGCATATTCAGCTAGCCAGTGACCGGATGAAGGTGGTGTGGCTGTATAATCCAGCTAGAAAGAAAGGAGTATCGCCGAAATTGTCCTCAGCATGGGAAGGACCCTATAGAATGAATAATCAAGAGGA